CTGCAGTTCAGCCTCATGCATCATCTTGGGATTCGACTCGATAATGTTTTTACCCTTTTATATACTCTATATTCTCTCTTATATCTCATTCTTTCAAGACTTGATATACGATTTCTATCCTTTCTCTCTACTTCCTATTTACACACACACACACACTCTCTCTCTCTCTTTCTCCAACTCCAGGGTTAGGATACAAAGCATCGTCAGGGTCCACTTCGAGTCCAGACTCGAGATAAATGCCAACGCCTTTGACAACAGAGCACTCTAATATTAATTCTCCTAAACCGCACATTAGGCATTCCTACTGCACAAACCCCCGAAACGTGAAACCATGTCCATCGTAAAGGCTACTTAAAATAGTCACGATCGGACCCTTTCGCGCTAACTTCCAAGCTGTCTATGGGACGCTGAGAACGCATCTAAAAGAGATAAGGCGATTACTGAAACCATACAGTACGATCGACTCCTTTTCCCCGTGGAATAATCTTGTCGCTCGCGTCTTGAACAAGGACTCGAGTTGGGGCTCCTTTAGGCGCTGGTTCTTTTGATCTTCCTACCTGATTCCCTATAACGGGGGCAATCGAGATACTATTCGTCGCGATGATGGATTGGGCACCAACGGTGTTTCATGTTTTGTCCTTGATCTATATCCATTTTCAACACACGGTAGCTCCTCGGGTGGGGCTTTTTTATCCATGGTTCTTAGTTGCCGCTTTGGGGGGGAATGAGGGGCAGGCTTGTAGGTATATTTCAGTCCGGGCGGTTCAGTATCATCACGTGATATAAATATGTATCACTCGAAGCCGTCTTTATTTAATAATGAAGTGTACAACATAAGATACTCGACTGATATGAGTACCTAGAAGATCTGCTGTCTTAACGGCTCGCACGGGTTAGCCTCTTGCATATTGCAAGTAGGCTTAAATAGTAACTAGAATGAGTGGACTGATTCAATTCGAGGTAGCTTAATACTGATAAGGAAGAGCGAGTGGTTAATTATTATATCAACGATAATAAACCTATATTTAGGGACTAAATACGTTTTTAGCCGGGGGTTATATAATGATCTAGAGGTTAGACTAATGAGATTCGGAAAGGATCACATAACTACTAGTTATATAGGACCCACTTGTTAGAGTACCCTAGTAAGCATTTAAGGGTTATAGAGACAGCAGCTTGCTGCTTCTTGCAAAATCACTCTCATTTTACCACTTGTAAGCTTTTGGTATCAAGTCACATCAGTTCCCCCAGTTCAACGTGTTTCTCTCGATAGCCCTCTCTTGCTAGACAGCCGAAGATCAACCAGTTCTTAAATCCAGATTTAGGCATTGACGATAAAATGACAGAAGATAGAGAGGGTATATACAAAGAGGTTATTTTGTAGGTCTCAGGGATCTCTGGCTTTATAGCATGTGACTTCCATGCCATCATCATGTCTCCTTCGAGTACTTCGACCCCTCGTCATGTCATCTACGAAGTAGTATAGGTGTCGTCGGAAGTGGTTTGCCAGATCTTACTAGATTGATTTCCTAGCGTACTTGTCAATGCTTGATAGGCAGGTAGGACACTTCGCATTGGCTATGCGGCGTCCTAAAGGGACTTCGAATCTCGAGTCCTCGTCCTCGCCCTCTTCGTCCATGTCGCTTGGGGTCATTTCCCTTAGCGATGCTTGCTTTTCCGCTGGAATTGTTTCCACCGAGGAGCCCCCAACATGTTGATTGAATAGAGTATCACTAGGCCAGACGTGTAGGGTTGTTTGACATTGGTTCGACGAGGGGGCGAGGGGGAAAAGAAAAGAAAAAGGCGGGTTAGGGTCGAGTCAAAGCAGAGCTGCAGCTAGAGCGAATCACACCGACATACGGAGTACATTGCCGCTAATCTAGATCATGGGTCAAGCATCGAGAAAGCAGAGGCTACGCAACTATCTTTAAATTAGCCGGGCCAATACGCAACGGTCGGTGGGGGTTGGGGTAACAGGAAATGGCTAGCAATGATTACAATGCTTACGAGAATAGATAAAACAGTCGAAGGGATAAAGTCGGGTCTTTTCAGGATAGTGTATAGGGGCGCTCAACCAGGAAATTTGAAATCTGCAGACAAGATATCTATGGATGCATTCTTGGGAGGCCGTTGCAGATGTTGAAGTATAGCTTCGAATATACCGTTCTTGGCATATCAGACCTACTAGATTGGCATTTGGCGAGACAATATGAAAATGTTAGGGTTATATAGACACATATTGTATCCAAGGTTATCACATTATCTGAATAGGACGAGAATGAAGTAAATTTAACCGCATTTAAGGACCCTTGCATCGTTCCAAGGTTGACAATGCCAGCTGCATGCAGCACGATAAGCTACCACCGGCCCCACAATGCGCTTTTTGAGACGCAACTAGTACAACAAACATATAAATTTAGGATGTCAGCACGAGACTACGTATTTCTCTCCATGGCCCTCTCTCGCTAGATAGGAAAAGATCAATCAATTCGTGGAATCCGCCTTAGGCATGGACGATGAAATCACAGACAAAATGGAGGGGGTATATGCAAAAGGTTATCATGGCATGCTGTTTGGTCGTTTGGTTCATCCAAGATATTTTTGCAAACAATAACTCCGGGTATCTAAGTCACCAGCCTGCAAGCCAAATATGTATAGTCGCCAGAATGTGACCAGGCCAGCCGGGTATAGAAGGGAATTCGTACCTCTCCTGTATCTCCCGGGGCATAGTGTGCCATATTCACTCGTCAGCCTCGAGACGACGATATCTTCAACCCATCCACCTGTGTCACAGGTCCACCCGGAAGAAAAAGACAGAGCAGAACCAGCCTTGTCTGTTCCTTCCCATTAAGATTCACATTTGCGAGAACCGCTGAAGCTTTGGTATAAAGATACCACAATCAAGGATACCCGCCACTTGGGAGCGCATCGTGTTCACGTCTCGCTCTCGTCTCATATTCCTAGTTCAACATTTTGTTCACGATCTCCCACCAGATTTGAGAATCTGCTCGAGATTCTCCCGACTCTTTTGGTTTGTCGTCTCGTGATATTGCAGCTTTTTCTCGAGGCTGGAGATCTCAGAGGTGGCCTCGCCGCTCTCGCGCGTAAGACGCTTGTTGACTGTGTTGATGGGAACGTTGACGAACCTGGAACAGGGTGATAAGTCAGTCTCAGTTTCATGAGAAATGGACCCAATGAGAAATTTCCCCGATTTTCTCACTGTTTCGGAGTCGCAAAATTGAAAACAAGGAGAAGTGAAATGAAAAAAAAATATGAAACAAAAAGACAAGACAGGAGGAAAAAATAAAAAATGCTCACATTTTTCCGACACCTTCATATACCTTCGTCTCGGAAGGCAACTCAGACAGCTCCTTCGATGTAAGCTGCAGCATGCGGATATCGCGCTGCTTAGCTGTCATATGAGCCTTGGTGATACTGATCTGCTGCTGCGAGGCGATCGCACGGGTTTCAATCTCCTGGAGGAGCTATATTGGTTGAAACTATTAGTATTTGCACATATTGATTGAAATTTACATCCTCAATCGGAAACCAGACAGGAGACAAGAGGCTGAGTGAGACCAAATTGACTTGGCACACCGCTTCCCCTGGTCATCTGTTCGCAGTATCCGACCCAGAGACGTGAATCTATTCAGCATGAGACACACCTTTTGAAGAGCTTCGTTGGGAATCGACATCTTGGCTGTGGATGTCGTCTTCAGGGCTTGAATGTGGTTGAGGGGTAGGAGGGGTGCGGAGGAACGGGCGGAAGTTATGAAATTGTTTTGTTGTCGTGGACTCCGGATTAGTCGTTTGTTTTTCTTCCCGAAGTAAATCTGTATTGGCCGATTTGGTTTTTATTGGAACTGTCTCGCACGGTGTCTCTGTGCAATGTCTTGATCAACAGAATCAATTCGACTTGCTCGGCGAGGCCTTTGGGGTCAAGGCGGTGGGCAGGCGTGGCGGTGGAGTATTGCCTGACTTAGGGCTCGGGGGATACGAACGAGGTATGTGTCTAGTCCCAGAGAAAAGGCATGGAGTTTGTGTTGACAAAGGCAGAAACATGTATTTGTTTCTGCCCGTGTATCTTTTGTTGCGAGGATCTAACCAGATTCGATCAAGATTGACATCAGCCATTCATACCGTATGAACTTAGTATGTCTAGGAAGGGCGAGATTAATAGGTGCTTACTGCTGCCCAGAACCCCCTGAGGAAGAAAAGGAAATAATAAACAGGTATTTCTCTGTTTAAAGCCATCTGATAGGAGAATCGATAGGTGCTCTCTAGCAGAGAGGGCATAAATCCATACAAATTTTGTAGGTACCAGCCTTACACAACAGATGCCTTGAACTTGAATGGCTTCATTCAAAGTAGACAATCCCAATTCAAGCCTTCATGCCTAAAGGCGTCTAATATTCCTGTTATAAAGGGCTAGGCAAGTTCAGAAAATATGGTTAACCGACAAAGATATTGGAAAGAACATATTGCCCCATTGGGGCCTTCTAGTATATGGAAAATATGGAAACCGCACGCGGTTCTCTCAAGTAGCGGTGTGACAGAGAGTGATAGAACAAATAGAATAATACTTGACGTAAATGCCACAAGATCCGAGATCCTGTTGGGAGGGGTCTCACTGCCGTTTACAGCATAGAGTAGGGGCTGATGATTGAGATTGAGAAGGGCCGCGTGTGTGTACTAAACCGGCCGGGATTGGTGATAATGCCCGGGGAAACACAGCCTTTTACCTAGTAATATTTAATGGAGTTTGAGATTAAGGAGTAGAGAAAATTGGAATGGATATTTGAGTTGGTAAAAACAGCGCGCATTAAAAAGATCACAATTCCCTCCAGTGCATAATTCCTTCGGCGTGAAAATGACAGAAATCTAAAGACCCTAGGCACCGAATGGATTTCCAGACAGGTCCGAAAAGCAAATGAAAATAAGACAAAAGCCAGATTTGACTGGCAAGACAGTATGAAAAGTAAAAGACCGAACCAAGGAGATCATTCCTGGACACCATGCGCCCCAAGCCTGAACTCCGTTTCCCACTGAGCTTTTCCTTTCGGAAAGCCCATCGGCGTGGCCAACTCTTGCTCATGTTCTCGTTCAGCAAGAAGTTGGTCAGCCCAGATCTTCAATGACATCGTAGACGTACGAAAAGCCCTTGGGATAGCCATGGGCATGGTTTGATTTCTCTGACAGCGTTTAGTAGCCGTTAGAGTTAGTGTCAGGAGAGCACCACAGATCGAACTCAGCGCCAGTAGGGTCGGCCATGCTTTCGTGGCGAGGCAGATCCCATGAGGGATCCCGACCCTCGAGGCTCTGCATGCTGGGGAGGTAGGCAGAGGCCATTCTAGGGTGAGCGTAGGAAACGGTGCTGGGAGGCATGGATGGTCCCGATGAGGCTGCGTAAAAGCCGGGTTGAGTCTCGTCAGCCCAGGTAGAGTATGAGCCAGGAGCGGCGGAATAGGAAGGACCGGCCATGCCAACTCCAGAAGACTCGCCGCCGTGGCAAAGAAGTCGGGGATCCATGTCGTGCATGTTTAGGTCGTTGAATGGCTGGGGCTGGAGTAGCTCGTGGTGAGCAGCACCAGGGAGACCGGCGAGGGAAGAGCCATATCCCATATCCTGCTGGTTTGGGCTGGTGGAGCGGTAGATGTCTGCACCGTAGGATTCGGAGCCCTGGAGAGAGCTGGGTTGGATCACTGGGAGGCCACTTGGGTGGCTTGTGTTTTGCCAGGAGGAGTTAACATATCCAGGTGTCATCATGGAATCAGGTCCAAATGGCGAGGAGTCCCGGCTACTGTCGTAGTAGGGCTCTTCGAAGCTTTGGGTTCGCGAGTGGGCGTAGGAAGACCCATGGTATGAAGTCGATCCAAGGTCACTTTCCAGGTCAGAGAAACCCCCTTCGTCGCCGGTAGGTCCTGGTGTAAAGGCAGGAGAACCGCTATCGCGTCGGGTGGTAGTGGCTGTGTTTTTGTTGGGCGAGAACTTGTAGTCTGGATGTGTTGCGGCATGGTTGTCACGTTCGAGCTTCGCCAGGTCTTCGTACTTTCGGCGAATCTCAATGGGCTCTAGCTTCCAGCCCTGGCCTGCGACCTTTGAGACGATTTGGTGGTTGTTCGCACCCACTAGTCTCTTGGTGCGCTCTGCATATGCAGACCGGTAAAGCATGAAGGAATTCATGGGTCGAGAGATCTTCCCATTCTTCTTGCGGACCTCGTCCTGTCTCTCAAGAGTGGATCGAGCCACCCAGGCGTCCATGTCCTTGATAGGAGTAGTGTGGAAAGATTCTGTAAGTTGACTGATTGGTCCATCGAGCTTGATACCCGGATCGGAGAGTTCTCTCCGGGCACGGTTGCGTCGCTGTTTGGTTGCCCTAGCTGATGATGCTTTGGGGCGATTGTGCGGGGACTGTGACCAAGGTGGGGAAGGGGTCATCATGGTAGGTGAACCCATTGGGATGAGATCCTCATCAGATCCCCGGGGAGGTGTGGTGACCTGGGCACCAGCCATCATGATCTGATTTACGTATCCTGGTCAGTTTTACACACGGGTCAAATGACAACCATGGGAGTCAAACTTACCGATTGAGGAGGCATGTTCTGAGAAAAACCGGGGGCGTTGTAGAATGGAGGAGAACCGTAGTGCTGAGACGGGTTAGCATTTGCTACCAGGCAACAACGGTCACAAGATAAGAGACTCACCATTTCTTGCTGGCGAGTGCTGATTTCCTCATCAGACATGGCCATGTTGTCGTATGCAGGTCGGTAGACTCCAGGGCCTCCGAACTCTTCAGGCAAGGAATGTCCGTCTGTAGACTGGGGAGGTGTAGGAGGAATGGGTCTTGCCACCAAAGTCATTGTTATGATCTTTCAGGTCCTGGTAGACAGGATAAAAAAGAGACTGCCGATATTGGTTGAATGACCAGGAAACTAGTCCAGTGATAGTAAAGAAGAGAAATGGAATTTCCAGAAAGAGGAAAGAAGTGGAAGAGAGGTAGAATAAAGATATTCTCTGTCGTCCTACACAGATGGTGGGTTTGTCTTGCAGTTGGAGCTCCCCTGAAAGAAAGGTCTCAAACACGACTGCAGATGAATCTGCTGGCAGGTGAGACAAACACTGCAACAATCCAATTGGATGAAGTGTGAATGTATGAATATAATAAGTATGAAAGTAATGAAAGTAACTAAGTCTGAGAAGATAAAGATGAAGTGGATATGTGGATTATGAGTTCAAAGGGATGAAGATACAAGAGCCAAAGACTTGAAGACTTGAAGAATTGAAGATTAAAATATGGGCGGATCTCTCTAAATAAATAGATAAATAGAGTCAACTAGAGAGGAGTAGAGACCATACGCAAACAGTCAGAGGCTGAAACTGACTTAAGAAGAAGGCCTGGATACAATACGCATGGCGTGGATCTATTTCTCTTTGGTTTAGTGTGTGTTTTTTTTTTCTTTTTTTGGAAATATTAATTATTATAATATTAATATTAATATTATTTCATTTTATATATATTATATATATTATTATTATTATTTCTTTATTCATTTTATGTATTTCCCTTTTCCTTTCTACTCTAAAACTAGTGGAGGCGTTCATAGCAGACGGTTTACCATATCGGTCCTAGTCCAGACACATCATTCATCTGCTATTGGCTTGATATGCTCTATTTTCTATTACATTTCTATTCCATGACTATAATAGTTTGGTTGAACATCCCATCTATGTTACGCCCTCCTAACTATCCCAGTCATATCTCAAACATTCTAGTCTTTGTGCCAAATTTGGAGAACTACAAATAGCATAGAGAGAAAGAAAAGGGTTCGGAAGATTGGCCATGCACCGAATAACCCCGGCAAGAAGATCCAGTATGGAGCCATTGCACAGGAAAGACAGACCCATGGACCTGTAGGAACTTTCCAACGCCCGATAACCCGATACCCGGGGATGCAATAGGCCAGATTCAAATGGCAAATAGAAAGGAGACATCTAGGGCTGGGGTAAGAGGGGCTTGGAGATGTCATAGGTCTAAGCTTGAGTATAGGGTTGGGATATTTTCTTTTCTTTTTTTATATATTTCTTTTTTTCAATATTTTATATACGGAGAACATCTCTTGACACTTTGACATTTGGAAAAAAAAAGCAATCACAAAGAGGCGTATATATCATGCAAGTATCTAGAAAGATGCTAGCTTGGAGATAAACTGGAAAATGAAGTAGTTGCTGTTAATCACAGTATAGTTACGTGGTACTCTATGTTGTAGATAAAATTTAACAGAGTAAAAGCTAAGCCTGCGAGTCATGCTAATGATCACGACAGTACCAGTAAACTACTAGTTAAGTAGAGTAGATCAATTAGTTCGTCTACTCCCTACCAAGGTTAGAGAGACATACCCTACGGTTCAACCAACCAGGTGATAAAACTATTCCCCTCTAATTCCCCAGATAGCCCGCTCAGATCGTCAACCATGGATTGCTATACAGAAAAAGGCAACAGTCTTAATAGGTATACGGAGTACTTGGTTTGTAATGTTGGTTCCGGGGACTCGGGGACTCGGGGATTTGTTCCCTTTCTAACTCATTTAATAGGTATTTAATGTTAGGGGAGATGTCGAGGTCCGAGCTTTCGGCGGGGAGGAGGGGAGTGGAGGAGACTCTGATCCCGTCCTATGGCGGCTGTAGTGTGGAGTAAATGTGGATCCCCTCGTTGATCGACGGTGTTACCACCATCGGTTTAATCCCAAGGTTGAAAATTGATATGACCAACAGATACCTAAATCGGCTCAAAGTCTAGAGCGCCACAAATGAATTTTGATTGGTTGGATTTTGCCGGGGTTATGTATCCGCAAAGGCCCGAGCCAGGAATTGGTGGAATTGAATCACGTTCTTGGTACTAGAGAGCTTTGCCCTCACTTCTCGAATTTTCCCTCTTCTGTGGATACTACCTACCTAGGTAGTACTCCCCCGCTTATTTCATATTACATAGATTGTACTACAATAGAGATCGTACTAGATTGGACCTGCGGACCGATCGATAATTTGTAATCTTTCATGTCGAGTTTTGGCCTGGTTATCTCCAGATCCCATCGGTGAAGGGTTAAATCCATCTAACGCCACAGGAAAGCCATGGACTCATTGAAACTCAACATCCCTGGAAGATCTCCCCGACGCAACCATGCTCGCTACTCCAGACATGCATGGCGGTTCGCGCTTACTCGGGGACATACCTGTTACCGGATGGAGACTAGCAGACGCATTTTCCGGAGTTGGAGATTGCTTTTACGGTGGCTCTCACGAGACTACAGGATAGGTCACCGGTTACTAGGATGTTTCAAGGATTGGATGTGGCTTTCTTTTGCAATGTACGGTGAGACCAACCATGCCCTGCAGTTTTTCTAGAAGATATTATTATTCCCCATGGACTGGCTCGTGGGCTGTTGGGATGTTGGATGCAGGAGCCAGCCACGTTATTGCATGGCTCTCGTCGCATGAAAGTCTTGGCCATGTGTTTTTTTTTCTTCTTTGTTTGACCCCTGCATCCTGTCCCTGTCGGGCACTCGATAACCACCTGGATGGACGCAGAATGTCAATCAATTGCTTGAATGGTGGGGGACCGTGCAGATGCCATGTTTTGATCGACGAACTGTTCGAAGACTGAGACCTGCGCTGCATGTCCATGTGGCTTACCCCTCGCTCAAAGAAGGTGGGGAATTGACACAAGCCTGCGCTCTGAGCTTATCTTTTTTACATTTACTTTTTTTAAAATCTCAAGATGACCCTGTCATGTATCCTGTAAGCATCTTATTCGTCCTGGTCCATATGTCTGGATGTTATGGGGCTGAGCCAAACCATATATTCCACGTGCGTTGAATAATCCAACCTTGGAAACGATCAAAGAGATAAACGTTGAGAGGGCAACAAATCTCTTTCCGCCGACTCGGGGGAAATAACATCGGGATCAAACTGGTCAAATTAAGTTGGTGATGAGTGCTTCGTATACCGAATCCCATTCGATAGTCTAATTCCTCACCTATGCTATATAGTTGGTACCCCATAGTTATCAGACTTTTTACCTTTTAATACATGTGCGCGTATCCTCGAAGTTCAATTTTCTGGGACCAAAATTGAGGGGATCAATAGAGTACTTTCCGCCGTAACGGGGGAAACCCAACGGGAACCAATAGGCAACAACAGCCCTACCAACCGGAGTGCCCTAACTTCCCCAAAATAATGAAGTTCATAAAAGGCGCTTGGACCTTCGAGCCACTGCTGCAACTGGTCCATCCACGAACTATTCCCAGGTTCCAAGGTACCGTATTCTCTAATGAGTGTGTGAACCAGATTGACAGCCAGGATCACCCCGCTCAAGCCCCCTCAAGCCTCCACTAATTCCTTTTCCAAGACCTTCTAGAAGATCGATATCTCGACAGAAGAGGATAAGCTCCAACTCTAACCTTTTTTTGGTCACAGTTCAGTCTGCTGACTCGACTATTTTGGGAATACACCCATCTCCCCAGTCTCACTGTTAAACGACGTTTCATCTCAACCCTTCTCATTCACCCCCTGATCGCCTATGTGTTTCTAAAGATATCTTCGTTTCAAGTCATTCTTCTCATATTCATTGTTGATGCTATTTTCGTAGTGTAGGAACAGCATGAGAGAAAGAGAAAGAATGGTTCGGGGCACTAACTAGTGTCATGGGGAAGAAGATCTACATTTGATACGGAGTAATGAAGATCGGCATTAAAAAAAAAAGGTAAAGGGACACTGACTGGATTAAGCAACTTTGGTACTCATATTTCTATTCGACATGGATGTCCCCGATGCCCCGATACACTGAACCCTGACCCCTGTGGTCCCTCATGGTTCGACACATTTTTGCAGGGACCTCGATTGCCCTGGCTGAGTGTGGTTGCCGCTGTTATGATCTTGCGATCAGCTTGGCTTTACCTAACAGAATAGACGACTGTGAAAGAACGTCTAAGTCTGTGTATTTAATTTTGAGCCTAGCTGTTTTCAACCATCGCCACAAACGCCATCCTGTTCAAGAGGTTCATCCAACTCAATTGCGAGTGCCGCCAACACTCAAAATCCATAGTCCACGGCTTGCGGTCAGGTCTACTCCTACTACGGAGAGAAAGGCGGGGAGATGTTATGCCGGGCTCAGATCTCGCCGGGACTAACGAAGAACGAAAGAGCTAAGAAAACAGAAAGTACGGAAATTGGCGATGAATTCATGCGCAAATGGCGGATCACCATTCGATGTCCGTTGTCGTCTTCGAGCCCCATAAAGCCTAACTCTACCCTATCAAACCCTATCCATTCACTAATTCGGGGGAGGAGGCCGGGGAGGAAACACCCTGGAACAGTAGTCAAGCGACGAACTGACATGGGTAAGATGGTGAGATCAGATCTTGTGTTGCCAATTCCCAGACCGCCACGAGGAATCTCCTGCACAATCTTAGAGGAGCGGCTAGAATTCATTTGTCGGTTGGTATTTACCAGGGTGTAATGCGCTTGATACCCAAAAAGGAGAAAGAAATGCCTGAGATAACCTGCAGGCTTCAGCCATAATAAAGCGGGATTCTTAACCAACAGTTGGATTTCCTCACGATTGGTTCAAAAGACTGACATTGTTGACAGTTTATGTGCCAGAATTATGCCGGACTGGCGCACGGGCGCCAGAGCTATGTAAACGTAGTCTCTGAGCTAACTAGCGTACTTCTTACACTGTAGATGTCTATCTTTTGTCTCCTATTTTTGTGCTGTTGCATTTAACCTGTTGTGGTTGATGTACGGGGCATAGAGAACAAGTCATGTTATCACGTTTATCCTTACCGGGGACATTGAATACACA